CAATAACATATGTATGAGAATTTTCCCCGCTTCTTGTTTTTGTTAACCTATTGTAAAAAGGAAATATTCAATAAAAGAAAACATCTATGTTAATAGGTAAAAAAGAAAATTATCGTGTTTTATTTTAAAATTACCTTACAAGTAATTATGAATTACAAGAGAGGAATAATTGATGTAAAAATAGACTACTTAATTTCATTAAAACCTAGGTGACTTAATAAATGATCACAGCTAGTTAAAAGTAATAATGACAGAGCCTAATTTACTAAAGTAAACATAACTTCGCCAATTAACACGCCTTATATTTCTGCCAGCTTACATTATATAATTATGCTCGAGTTGAAACGAGCTAAGATGTTGCTATAGCAGAATATTGTCTCCGAATACGAACTATACCTAAGGTAACATTGACTGTTTTAAATGGTAGAGAAGAAATATCTTTGCAAGACTTTCTGTGCCATTTAGATGTTCCTTAAAAGTCAATGTAAACAAGAAAGACTATGTTCGTACATGCGAATCATTGGTCCCAACACTCCACAAAAAAGCCCCCTTGTAGGGTCTTGATTAATCATTTTGTGCATTTAATGAATTTGAATTTACCGTACTCGATGACAGTGATGAATTTTTATTTAAATTATAAAATGAATGGACTTGCACAGGGACTCATTTTATTTATTAAGAGGCCAATATTTAATCAGAATAGGCAGTTACAGAATAGACAAATATTAACATAAGTAAATTTAGTAAAATGTAAAAAATGGATTTGACATATTATGTAAGCGTATGATAAAATGATTGAATACCTCGTTCAGTTACCCATTTGCAAGTAATAAGAAAAAGTTTGATCTGATATACGTATATACCGCACCACGATTTACTAACATAAACTTATTACCCTACCAGCATGCCATGGTGACGTCGACGGCAACATGGCCAATAGCTATCTCCGAAAACCGAAGATGGTTTGTTCAAAATATAAGGCATTAGTGCCTTTGATAACGATAGTGCTGTTCTTTTTTTCTAACGCCTTGTCGATCGCTCAGCTACTGATATATTATTTTGTTTGTTATGTTATTATGATATATAGGTTATATGACATATATAGGTTATGCTGATATGCATTATGTTACGTTGCCGACAACGTTGCCACGGCGGCGTCCCGATGAGATACAGTTAAAACAGTAGACCATTATTAGTTCTTTTAACTTATCATGCATCTTTTTGTAACCTAGAGGACGTTAGATTAAAATTATGCTATTCTTTAATATTAATCAAATAATTTATGAGACACGATTCAAAACTCACATCGATTTTTATTAAGTTTCATATACAAAATTACCACAACTTTTAAATGACAAATACATCCCTAAGTCAAACTTTAGAATAATAATTAGTTTCTTATTGATCAAAGACCTACTAGGTCTATGTTCTTCATAATCTTTACTATTATTAAATGGCCAATGAAGTAAATTCCCATTTTAGCCTCATGTTTAAGGAAATATTTGTGGTGGGCCCATTCTCTATACAAAAAGAAATTGTCTGCTTTGATGAGGCATCGTGCACACATACTCTTAAAAATTAGTATATTAACGCGCAACGGAAGCTCCAATGATCGCATTATCCAGAGATAGATTCAGTTTTACATAATTTTCTTTAACATTCGTTGTACACAACCCACAATTAAAACTTTGTGTTCCGTTTTACATATGTTAATTAATATTAAAATACAGTAATTAATGTTAAATTCTAACTCTATAAAATGAAATATATTCTTGCAGGGACGTACTTAACCTAAATTTCCTTAGCTTACCTGTTTTCTTTTAAAATATGGATAATTATGGTTATAGTCAAATACATAGTATATGGATAATTATGGTTATAGTCGAATACATAGTTGGGGGCGGGACGAGAGCTAGAGGTGACAGAGAGGTGCATATGGTTATTGTCTTGGCAGCTTTACGATGCGGCGATCTTAATACAGCTTAAAATTACAACACCAAATATGCATGCGCAATGAAATTACATCCTAATTACTGTGTAATATACTAATATGTGTAATTACTGTGTAATAACGTAGACACTGATTATAATATAATTTACATTAAAATGATTCACAAGTGTTTCTGCGGCTCCTAGTCTTAGAGGTTCTTACTATTAAATGAATATACTCATACTACATACTATTGTACCTATTTAATTCGACAGTAAGAAGTTATATAATAGAAAGTAATTAATTACTTAAGGAAATAATTTTGAACCTATGAATCCGAACATTTAAAAGTGTATTTACTAACTGAATTATCTAAGTAATCTTAAAATAACACCAATACTAATTTACCATTAATGCTCTATTATTATAATTATTTAAGTTGTGGGTGGTATTCAAGATCTTAGACGTGTCAATCGTCTTTATAAGTTTTAATACGATACATTTATTTTTTATTTATCCAACTTACCCTATAATTGATACCACCCTAATAATATTCTGTAGCTAATCGTAAGTATAATTTAAACACAATAAGGAATTCAGTAATACATAATTTTGACGTTGCAGGAGTCTTCTCGACTGCAACCTTATCTACAAATTGCCAATCGGTTGCTTTTTGTATCTTGCAGTCTTCTAACTATCGAATAATGATATCTAAGTGAAATGGAGCAACATAAAAATAATCCTAATCTACAATACAACTACACGACCCCTTCGCCCTCTCTAAAATACCATATAATTACAACTACAATGAAATCTAATGATATTCTAAAAAAGACTGCAAAACATCAAGCAGATATATATTACTGCATTAGTTATTATGTTTCAGAACATATTATAGTCACTAATTATATAAACAATCTAATCGGAGTATTGCTTTGATTGAGAATAGCACGTATCTTCTTCACCCTATGTGTAAAAATCGTGATATATATTATAAAAATTAAAAGCGACAACAAATAACATGTAAAGCATCGTCAACCTGCATTTATGCCTTAAGAGAGTCACGCAGGAGATCAGCCGGAAATAATCGTGAATTTGCTTAGATATTAGAAGCTTTATTAATATGTTCATTTATTATGATTATCTGTGTAAAATTTCTATAGAATTTGATGTTTTGATGAAGGCCGATCCCTACAGAATTTTTTACTATACACCTTCTCAGTCCTCCCGCTAGCTCACATTAACACCAAAAGGACACACTTTATCTTTAATTTATATCTTAATTGATAATGAAAAGACAACAATCACCCGTATCATCGACAAATCTTTTCACTACGTTCTAATAGTCTAATATATTAGGTTGTTCAAGCGTTTATGGGTGGTTTTGTAACAGTGATATAAATGTAGCGCCTATTGAAGTAAGTGATTTACGTAACACTAAGTCAATTGAATTGATATCTAGCCGATGATTTCGGGGCTGTGTCAAGGGAAATTTGAATATTTGATTTTACATTAACTTTGACATCAATTATGTGACATTTAAACACCAATGTATATTGTATAATGTATCCCTACTAACTATTACACAAGAGTTAATTATCAGTTCAGAGTCTAGATTAACACAAGTAATTCGGTACTTTTCAATACGCCACTATCGGGCCACACGTCCGACGGGATTGATCACAAGCGTACGCTAAAAAGCATCGTACGATAAAATGGGCCCTACGCTACGACCGACTGTCGGCCGAAAGCACATTACTAAAATATCTCTCTCATAAAATACGCCGTGTACATCAATATCGACTTTCATGTGACCCGAAGTTATCCAAGTGCCTGATCGAAGAAAACAAGAAGCACAGGGGGCAAGGTTCGCCCTAGAGGCCTTTAATCATCCTAAAGTATACAACCTTAACATTTAAAACAGGATAAAAAAATAGGAGTTAGATTTTGGTTATACTATAGACCGTAGAACGTTAGCGTATTGAGTTTAGATCACGTATAGGAAGGGCATTCCGAGCGTATAAACGACGTAAAATCAACACGTTAACGACTTACGAACTAGAAGGGCACTACTTGAACAAACGAGTGAAATGCATCTCCATCACCTTGTGTTAGAATGATTGCACTAAACATAGAAAATGCTGGCGGATCTAAGCATTCTATCGTGCATTGAAGTAGTGTCTCTAGTGAAAGGAATGCCATAAGGCGGTGATAGTGGAAGATCGTGGGGGCGCTAGGCAGAGGACGCTGGGGAGAAGCGTGAAACGTTACGCATTATCGATGTTTCTATCAACATATATTCTGTATAAAGTAAAATGTTGAGAGTACCATCAACACTTGGGCTCGGGCTGACCTCTGAATAGCCATCACAATCCTTACATTCAAGACTATCTACCTAAATTCGCAACTGCGTGTGTACGCATTCGAGACTACCTAGATAAAAAAACCATTCAGAGAATTTATCACCCGTGCTTGAAAAACGTCGATATCTGATTTTAATCAGTTATATCGCCATTTTAGATGTCATATCCGATATGCTTGTTTCTTTACACTTGTTAAAGCTTAAGAGGGTTATGACTAGATATGAATGCATTAACAAGTAAACGGAATGTTGTGACGAATACAATTCACAATTACTTAATATGTAATACTGTTAATAATACGGGCCGTTTAAAAACTTCACGAGTAGGCCACCGCTCGAGAAACATCAACTAAAGCTAAACTTACAACTAAATCAATGAAACTCGGGACGAGTTTGTTGATTTTGACTAGTACTGGTCAATAAGCATTATGTCATATACGGATATGACATAATGCTTATTGGCAAGTACTAGACATCTATAGTCCACGTAAGCGAATAGGTATGCAAGGCTATATCGATAAAGAGATCAGCTTTATTAACGCAGACGTGAAAGTTTATTCAAATGCAAATGTATTATCGTTAACCTATTTCAATATAATAACGGGCATTTTATTGCAATGCAGATTTAGAGAAATGGTTTAAAGAAACAGTTATATATATATATATATATAGCGCATGCCTACTCGCGAGTTTGTGGGTACTTTATGTTTAACGCTTGGGAGGTGGTTTGTAGCCGTGGATCATGTGCTCTAAGAAGCGATGGAGATCGTAGAAGCGAGGCCGCTGATTTGGCTCACGGCGCCAGCATTCATGCATCAGATCGTAGAGTTCGCGGCGGCAACGCGGCGATGGAACGGCTGGGACACGAGCGGCGCGTCCGCCGCGACACCATTCGTTGGCATTCTTTACCACCTGTGGAAATTGAATCCGATTGTAAAACATTTAATCCAAAAATTTATTTAACTGTATAGTGAAAACTTTTTAATAATTATTAATAGCACTCGTATGGTAATAATTTCGCCAATGTTAAGTAATAATATATTATCTGAAAATCTTCTTCACAACATGCTCATGCGTCATATTAAGTTTTGGGAGATTTTGACGTCAACTTAACCTTCATTGTTCCCACCAATGGTTAACAACCACAGATAATAACACAAAATCACAGAAAAAGAGGCATATAAAGAAACTCATTAACGAGTAATAGAATTCTCTTTACTTGTTCTTATATATTTTTATGTTTCGCACTGGTCTGTTACAATATTATAATGATCTCTCGGTAGAGAGTAATTGTGTTCTGTGAAATGATTTGTTAAAAATGATTGATGTGATTGTTAAAAATGATTGAAAGATTGTTTTATGTATATTGTATAATCAATGAAATAAATCTTTAAATCACTTGAATATAAAATGTTATGAATAATTAATGAGCTATGATATAGCGGCGTTATGAAATGAAGTACATATAACTCAATGTATAAAGGGATTTGCAGTTAATAACGCGCAAATTCATGCTAACTTAGGTGGTAAGTAAGAATCTATATTACCATTTTATAATTTAAGTCAATACTTAACAGCGTCCACATTTGAAACGATAATGTGGTTGAGTATAAAAAAGCTTACCTGGTCATCATTCATTTCTTCAAAAGGCTTAGCAGCGCAGTAAGTAAGTACTTCCCACATAGTGACTCCAAATGACCAGACATCACTAGCTGGAGAATATATTCCCTAAAAAATATAATTCATGTACTTATTTTGATACTAGTGACTTCTGATGAGTGGATATAGACCTGCCTTTTATCTTTTATTCGTAAGAAAAAACGCGTAAGTTTAAAGTAAGGTTCATTTTATATCTAGGTACTGTGAAAGCATTTTAAGTTTTATTTTATCCAAGCATTCAGCTTTCAAGTATCCTTTTCTCAAAGTCGATATTGTTTCTCTATAATTCGAGCTAAATGTTTTAAAATCTTATTTCTATTTAAATGATCATTGCATGCTTAGATCAGAAAAGAATATTACTTTATTTCTAAAGGTTTAGAAACAATAACATTAAAATATATTGGGTCGGGGAAAAAGTTTTTTCGTTTAATTACATTTAATTATTCTAATATATAAAATTCTCGTGTCGCGGTGTTTGTTACCAAACTCCTCCGAAACGGCTGAACCGATTTGTATGAAATTTTGTGTGCAAATCGGGTAGGTCTTAGAATCGGCCAACATCTATTTTTCATAACCTTAAATGATAAGGGTAACCCACCCATAATTTTTATTCTTTGACAATTTTTTTTATTTTAATTTTATTATGATTTATACAACATGTAACAAAAACCCTGTGGTTCCCGTTAAGTACGTTATCAGGATCAGTATTCAAACCTATAGAAATAACTGTTTTTTTTAAAAACTCGACAATTTTTTTTAATTTTATTATTGTTTTTTTAATTTTATGGGGTTTTATTACTTATTACTGACACTAGCCGATGCTAAAGCTAAGTAAAGCGGGTTCTTTGACAATCCTCGTACTCCCCAGACAATGCAGAGGTAATAAAACCAAAACAACGCTTGTCGGGTCAGCTAGTAATATATAATTATGTGCCATTTTGTTCATAACCTGTTGTTATCTTCTAGGTAATGACATAAATCCGTTGCTGTAGCAATTTTGCGTTTTCAATAAAATGCGACAAGTCGTTTTGACAGTCCTCTCTTGATGTTAACCTATCAATACCCAAGGAATTCTGAAGAGACTGAAATAGGTGAAAATCTGAAGGTGCAAGTTCAAGACTATATGGTGGATGCGTTAACACTTCCCAACCAATCTCTGTCAATTTTGGCTGAATGGCCAAAGAAGTGTGTGGTCTAGCGTTATTATGATGAAAGACCACTCCTTTTCTGTTGATCAGTTCGGGCCGTTTTTTTTCAGTTTCTTGTTTGAGTCTCATTAGTTGTTGGCAGTAGAAATCTGAACGGGCGGTCTTTCCTGGCGGTAAAAGCTCATAATAAAAGATGCCCTTCCAATCTCATCACCTTATTGTGTGTTAATCCGGGTTTCGCTACATTCTGTGCAGCTTGACTACCCTTTGACCATGATCTTTTTCACACGTTATTGTCGTAGGTGATTCACTTTTCATCACCAGTGATCGATATTTTCAAAAGAGAATCGCAAATGAGTACATGATTCATTAGGTTTCTTTCAGTGAGCTCGTGTGGTACCCAAATATTGGCCTTTTTATAGCCACACTATTTCAAATGAGTCAAAAATATTTTGTCGTCAATCCTCAATTCCTCGGCCATAGATTAATGATAAGTCATCGTATACTATACTAGGCTATATCGTAACTACTAATTTTTTTTATAGGATAAGGGTGACAAACGAGCACACAGTGCACCTGATGGTAAGTGGTTGCTGCGGCCCATAGACATCTACATCAATCCTCGTTTGCGAATCAAAATGCAGATGCGTTGCCACCCGTGAGGACTAATTAAAAATATGTGACCACATTATCCTCACGTACCTTAATAGAAAATTGATGGATGCTGGAGGCTCAGGTGCAGCGAAATTATAATGAGTTCTAATAATGACGATGATCATGATGAGTTCATCACAATGCAAGATACTCAACAATAACAACATTTTTATTTTAAAAATTTTTTATTAAAAAAAAGCCCAAGTCTTAGAAATCAAAACGAAAAAATATATTAGGTAGGTAGTTTTAGTTTGCTCGAGTACTGTAGATTTTCGCACAATGTATCGAGTTCATATTAATTTAATTATGCTAGATTTAGGTCTTCTTAAATATCCAGATCATCGACAATATTGCCAGTCGAACGGTAAATCACAAATTTAACATAATATTAAAGAGACCCAGCTTTAGAACTAAGTGTAATATAGTATTTTAATGCTAAAACTGACCATCAGTAAGCTCTCCCAGGCCATCCAGCGTAGTGGGAAGCGACAACCGTCCGCCATGATGTGGTAATCGCCGGTAAACTCCTCACAGAACATTGCGTAGTCGGATATCTTAACATTCAGTTCTTCAGTCACTGTAACATTGCTGTAAAAATATAATTGAACGAATTATTATTTCTGAATTATGATTTTAAAGAAATAATAAATATAACGATATTGCGTTTTGATGGATTTTGATATTTAATCACAATATATAGTTGCGATACATTGTGATTAAATATCAAATAAAGTAGCATACAAGCTCTGTTAACTTAGAATCATTTATCCATATAATCCAACGTGTCCGTATGAAGAATATTAAGTTAATACTTTAACATAAGATCCGACAAATTATCGTATATATCTACAAATCGGTCAGAAATAATGTAACAATCTAAAATACCTAACTTTAATAGCAATTTTAATTTGTGTTCTTTTTTATTACGAAGTGAATACGTTAGATACATTATTTTGTTAGTTTTAAAGTTCCGAATAGAATGACAATATGTTTATAGACACTCACCGTGCCGCGAGATCTCGGTGTATTAACTCGAATGACTCCAGATACTTCATGCCTGCTGCTATCTGACAGCATATGTGAATCAAACTCGAATAACTGAAAAAAGTAACATGATTTATTATATGTATATAAAATTCATTAATTTAAATTTAAATTCTTATGACTGCTTCTTTGGTCTAGTGGCGTAAACGCAATTGATGGTCATGAGGGGCAAATAATATATATACTAGCCATATACTATACTATACCAGATACTAGCTGGCCAGGCAGACGTTGTTCTGCGCTCTCCGACGACCCTGTGTCCTATAAAAATTCTTAAATTCGTAATAAAAAATATTGAGGGTCACTTATAGGGATAAAAGCTATCTTATCTCTCAAGTTGGGCCAAACTGCACACAGTGTGCAAAATTTCATTGCAATCAGTTTAGTAGTTTAGGAGTTCATCGCGGACGTATTATGCGATCTCATTATAAGTGTGGGTCATGACTATACTAGCTTATTGCCCCGCGGGGAAAAAGCTAGTATTGTATATGTAAAGTTGGTAAAGTTACAACATTATCTATATAGGCCGCTTGCCTATTTGCCCTCACCTCTGTGAAAAAGTTATAAAACTTATTTTCTACCATCGTTATCATTATTATCATAATCATCATCATCATCATCATTTCAGCAAAAGTCCACTACTGATCATATGCAATTAAAATTTAACGCATCTGCAATTCCCCTGGTGTTGCGGTTGTTCATGGGCGGCGGTAGTCACATACCATCAGGTGAGCCGCAAGCTCGTTTGCCCCCTCCCCTATAAAAAAAAATGCCACAAAACGCATACATCGCTGCTACTCTACTACTACCGCCACAAGGGACGTTAGATACACAGCCAAGGCCGCACCATTGCCACTTTCCCTCACTGACAAGTCTTAGTAGTCGCCTAGAAGTAATAGTAACGAAATGTAAAGCACAACTGGGCTGTAGGCGGACTTCACATGTCTTCGAAGTATTTTTTTAATATCTCAAAGAAGCAGGTTTCATCATCACGATGTTTTTCTTCACCGCACACATAATATAAAAAAATATATTGCAGTAACGCACTTCAATTTCCTGTCCATTTTGAGGATCGTCGGAAGTGGTGCAGCATCGCCGCGATCGAGTGCTGCGCATGGGGGTTCTAGCAGGCTCAAACCAAGAACCCTCGCAAGTTGAGGGTGCTTGAGGCCTGCGCCCCATGTAGCCTCGCGGGCAAACGCCGCTCTGAGAAAAGAACGCTTGTATAACACCTTCTACGATACGTGTTCAAAAAGTAAAAATATTTTGTCGAATATAAAAATATTTATAAAAGAAAAAAATTGTGAGTGGAGGGTCATTCTTAATAAAATAAAGTGTTGTATTATTCGATTATAAAGTTATTACACTACGATACGTTTTTAGTATTCCTTCTTACTTGATATCGTTATGGCATCCGCGCCAAAGCGTTTTCACAACAACAAGGCGGCGGCGGCCAGTACTCGGGGACTCTTCGTCGCTCAACTCTTCGATGCCGTCTGTCTCGCATATGTGGAGCTGTAGACAGAACATAATATTTACTACGTGGTAACGTGGTAGGGTTACATTTATACATAGCCTAAAAAAATTTGTGGGTTGTTCTCAGTCTTTACTTATGTCTGTAAAGTCTACAGCTACAGTTAACACCTCACGCATAAACCTGCAAAGATTATATCCGTTAACATAAATACGTGTTTATTTGTAAAAAAAGGCGATAGTGTTAAAACATTAACTCATTAAAGCAAGAGGATGTTCCGATTAGAAAATTGAGCCAGTATGTTTTAAGGCTGCGTGAGGCAGTTCGCTTACATAACAAAGTAAGATTAAAAAAATGATTTTATTCAAAAACTATTTTACATAGTTATTTTCTACAGGCAGATGCAATAAAACGTTAAATAAATCCAGAAATTTTAATATTTGAAATTCAATGACTACTGCGATTTATGTGTCGTCAATCTCATTTAAAACTAATTATATATTATAGTCTTTACCATTGAAATACAATGCATTTAATCCGGTTACCTTACTTGGTTTTGTAATAAGACAGCCGAATTTATATTCGTTCTCGGAGGCCACAAAACCTTTTTTCGACTGTAGGGTAACTAAGTTATAAATAGCTATTGAAGTCTGCAGCATGTATCAAGCTAAATACAATTTGGTATTTTATTAGACTTAGAGTGTGTTTTAATCAGGTTGCTTATTCGTAAGGCTTCTGCAAATTTTTGAAATTTTATATTTTTATTTAAAACGTTGTATTATCTGTTAGTTGTATTACATTCCAGTGGTTGCAATCGCTCAGTTTGCTCACAAATAATCCTACTTTATTTGGAGTTGTTTTTTCACACAATTTAGTAGTAGTGGGTTTACGTGGAATTATTACATCAGTCATCGTAGACGTATTCATTAATTGATAAGCGGTAAAACTAACGAAATAATGAACTAAATTGTAAGTATAATAAATTAATACTTTATAGGTCTTTTAGCACCTGCTAATCACGAGCACTTCAAATACTACCGTAAAGACCGCATACTGCTGGACATCGTGAGGAAACCAGCATGTCTGAGGAATAGCTTCCGAGGAAAAAATCGAGTAAATGATGTGAAATCTAGCAACACGCCTTGGAGCAGAGCTGCGGACTAATTGCTCCAAAACTCTCTTAGAAACAAGAGGAGGCCTGAACCCCTGGTGCTGGTTAGTTGGCTGAATGCTGGTTTACCTACGACGTTTCCCTCACCGCCGAGCGCGTTTTTAGTCAGCACTGAAAATTGCAATTAACAATTTCATTGGTGTCGGTGAGGATCGAACCTGGGTTTTCGCGTACTGTGAAATTTACGACCTTATAAGAAGAATAACGGTTTACAAAAATTTTCATTTTATTCTACGGCACGTGGAAGCCTTTCAAGCAAATAGTTCTTAAGCACGTAAATAGTGAGGGAGGATGAAAAAATCCTGTATATTTCGCAAAAGCCTACTTTGGCCTAGTTTCTGAGTTTACCGAGCGTGCAAAATGGCTTTGCGCCTTGCGGATTTACAAACCTTGAGAAAAAGCCCACTTTACAGTAAAGGTGGGTTGAGTTGCTAACGCTTGTGTTGAGAGATGGTTCGTTATTGTAAAAGGAAATATACGACATGACACATATTACGAGGTAATGTTTTGTGTGTTTAGTGCTTTTTGTAATCTTGAGTTATATTTATTTTAAATTAAAATATAAAATGCTAGCGAGAAATTCGGGTAAAAGCAAAATATTTTATCAATATTATTATCTACGAAAATACAGGCTCTATAATAATAATTAGTTCTATTAATAAAAACACACAATAATAATTAATAATTATTATAGTGTATTTTTTAGACAATAATATTTGTTTATTCATATCAAACCAGCGAACGATGATAAAGTAGCCAATTAGCTCATTATACTCCGACTAAAATGTAACAAATAGAATTAGAGAGATTACGTAGTAAAAACTAATTAGTCGAGTTCAAAAGATGAGAACTTTCTATATTCACGACAAAGACTTCTATGTTCAACGCGTATGTTCTGATTACTCTGAAACTGTTGAACCGATTTTTTTATTTTTTTTATTAAATATACTATACCTCAATTCCCATATAAATTTGAAGAAAAATACCACTTCCACGGGTGGACAAATAGGTTATGAATATTTTGATGTAACTATTTAGATGATATTATAGTTGTTTCTTACGCTTGTAATATTCCTTGGACCACAAAAAGGGAAAAAATAATTAAACTGTTAATAAGAAATATTTATAAAAAAGATTTTAAAACTAAAGAATTATTTCCACATAAATGTCTAGAAGCTTTTATGTGGAGATTACTTATTTGTAGTTTTGAAGTCGTTTTGTAATTTTTATTAGTAGTTTGATCAGCACAGTTCGAGAGATTACCTTCTAAATACAAAGTTACATACAAACAACTTAAGAGGAAATGCAGGTGGTCTTTTCTTTGTGCAAACGCTCTCGCCTGTTTTCTTTCCAGTTTATGACCTTATAGCAATAAGTTTTTACAGTAGAATTAATATTAACCTGTTCTGTGTCCCTATGTTTGCCTTTTTGATGATACATTCTTTTTATAAACATTAGAACCCTTACAAAATGCTCAAAATTGCATATTTAGTACCGTTGTCAACAGAGGCCTAGTGTTCAAATTTGATAACTAATACTGAAAAAGAAACATAGGGACACAATATATATCCTTCTTAATCAGTTTATGAAATATTATTTAAATTGGTATAATATTGGAGGAGGAAATAGTAGAGAGAAAAACCTCGAATTATGCCTTTTTACTTAGGCTATTCAGTTGCATCTGCGGTTGTCCTTATTGGACGCCGAGCGTTCACAGAGCGACAGCGATAGTTTATTCAAATACCTAATTTTCAAAAGTTTCTCGACTAGTATTTCCTCTTAAGTTTTTTTAATTATATTAGTGTAGAATTATGTTGCATTTGTTGTCGTGTAAAAAGCATATAATAGGTCTGCATAAATTATTTTGACGACGGCGTAGCTCGGCGGAATTTTCTTGTATAAAAATAATTATACTTCTGAGAAAGGGCTAAAATTTTATGCTGTATAGCGTGTAGATGTGGCGTAAGAGAATCCACTACCATATATTATCCCGTGGGTGTCGCAGGAAGCAACAGAGGGAAATGAAACTGAAGAGGTGCATCACCATCTTCCTGATAACCACTCAAAATAAGATAAATACTAGACATTTTTTATTCTTTTTTCTTTCTTTTTTTATTCTTTTTTAAAAAACGTAACCTCCACACTACGATTTTCTCCTTTATCGTGGGGGCAGTTTACAAACATACATTGCCCAAGGACAAACATCCAGACACGGAACCATTATTTGTAGGCCATACAAATACTTGTTCCGTGCCGGATTCGAACCCGCGGCCCTTATCGCTGCAACTCAATTGCTAAACCACTGCGCCACGGAGCCGTCAATAGTAACTCAATTAAAGTAACTCGTCGAAAGAAACTCATTCGTTACTTTGCGTAAATACATTTTATTAAAGATGTTAAAATTAACTAGGTAAGATCTACGTAAAAAATAAATGTACTTAGTACGAAGAGCACCTGCCGTCCTCATTCAATTGCGTGAACTATCCCCGTCAATACTAATCGTATACGTGTCCCGCTAATCCCAAGACAACTACTCCTTACACCACTACACTAGGAAAGATACATATACGTACGTAATACCGTCAATAATACGACACTTGTTTCGGCTCCAAACGAAGCATCCTCAGGTTAAGTAGAGTTAGCGGTGGCTGAGCGCAAAGTGACCGCTTATCGTAATTTGTAAATTACGATAAGCGGTCATTTAAAATATTCAATTTAAATAAATGAAGAATTTATTGAAAACTTGACTAAAGCGCATCCTGTCGGACCCTAACTTAGTTATGAAACATCGTCTCGACACCACAAATATTATATTGTGTGAATATTATGACCTATATAAGTCAAGTTTTTTTTATTTGTTTCGATTCACAGTTGGTGGCACTGTTGTCGAGATCCAAAAACCACCCGTGTAAAGGCGCAGCGGATCACTAGTGCATATTTAAAAATAAAAGTTGTTAGAAAATAACTTATTTGATACCTTTTTTCAATACCCTCCTTCGATTTTTGGCAGGGTATAAAACAAACGTTAAAGCAAACAAGTGAACTAAATTGTTAAATAGTAAACAAAATTGGTCAGCAAAGACCAGCGTATCTCTTAAATTCTGGTAACTAATAGAATTAAAGTACTATTTGCTCAGGTGTCCTGAAGGCTTGTGAAGAAGCGCTCTCTGGTAAACGAATTTGAAAGTACAGACTTGATAACATTGATAGCGGAAAATTTTGCTTTATATTTTTGCTTGCCAAGGACTTATAATTCCATTTATCTATATTATATATAATAAACTTTTCTTTGGTGTGACTGCCTGTCTGTATATACACGATATTTACGTAGAAATTACTGGACATATCATCATCATTCAACATCATTACAGCTCTTCACAAGTCCACTGCTGAACGTAGGCCTCCCCCAAACAATGTCACAAAGCACGGTCCTGCGCCACCCCCATCCATCGACTTCCTGCATGTCTTACCAGGTTGTCACAGAATGCCACAAAAATACCACAAAACGCGGTTCTGTCACTGGCATGTATCGACTTCATGTATCTTATTATCAGGTCGTCACTCCATCTAGTGGTTCTCCTTAACTTCGCTTCCTGGCAAGTAGAATTCTTTTCTCATCTGTTGTTGGTTCGTCGAGCTAAATGGCTGACCGCATGCCACTTCACTTACAAATCCGATGGGTTATATTGGTTACTCTGATTCTACTCGGGTTATATTTATTACGAAATCTTTAACATAGAGAAACAACAAATAAAGCCCTTTCCATAGCTCGCTGAGTGTTTGTGCGCTTCCCTACGGCAGCACGCACTGTTCTATTCATATTCTTGTTTTTAAATTAATAAAAAAGTTAATTAAGACAAATTACCCATT